GGTAGATAATGCATGTATCTTTGCTCTAGTCAGGAAGTGTACCAACATCTTTCTAGTGCCCCCGTTACAAAGTACTCTGTACGGATACAGAAAAGGATTCAAAGAAAGAAATTCAGATCCCTTGGTCGGGTGGCGGGCTGCATCAGAGACAGACCCAGCCAGTAGTGGAACATCCATCCGCACCCCCCTCCAATCCCCTCCCGTCTGCCGTCCTCCCACGTCCAGGTTCATGGCCAAATCCAGCACGAAGTATCCGTAACCGTACGTCCCTGATGATTGATGCCCTTGCTTCCCTGCTTCCTGCGGGTTGCTGCCGCTGTCGCTCTCGCCGTCCGCCGCCCGCGCATACCGCTGACCGCATACCGCTAGGTTCCGTCCCAAACTCCAACCCAAAGCTTCCTTTTTACTCGCACTGCTCAACTCTTTTTCCCTTCACACACTTGCGCCTAACAAACTTTCTCTGTCCAACAACACAAAACACTTGACCAAGGGGCCTCAGCGTCCGACCGGCCATGCATATCCGCTCGCACCTCCCACCTTCGACATCTCAATAGTAGACTACACCCTACATGTACACTTGGTGATGCTGTGCGAGACCCCGCTGGCTTTCGCAAGACGTGCCGGCATCCCGAAGCCCCTCCGAGCCATCACTCAGCCTCCATAACTGCGAATAGCATATTACCAATCGATCCCGGCGCCCTATCTTATACCGGCAACCTTTGGAGACTCTTTTGTTATTCTCACGAACCCAATTCCTATCCTGCGAGGCCTGGAGCCACCAACGAACTTATCCGATGTATTATTTACGCCGCTTCACCATTTTCCTCGCCTTCTTGGTGTCGGTGTCGTTCCTCGCATGGTTCCTGCCCCGCTACCTCAACCCAAACCCGCCAGACCCGGCGAAGCAGCGCGAGGATAAGAAATGGGTCAGCAGCAGCCCCTACTGGCTCGATCGCCAAGCTTGCCGTTGGCTGAGTCTTTGCGGCGTTCATCATCTCTCATGGGATCCAGCTTCTCTCTTCCCCTACAAGAACGACTCCGACGCCGGTGATTTGCGGTTGGAACTTAGGTCACTTGATGGACGCCATTCTGGGTGGGAGACGGCTCCCAAGAAGCGCTCGCCGCGGGACGACAAGGAAGAGAGGAGGAAGGTCTTGAAGGAGATTCCCGACTACGTTCTCAAGTATGCGCCGCTAGTCCACCTCTACTCGGGCGAGAACTTTTGGCCCGCCGACATTGCGGAACACATTCGGCACATGACGCCCTACTTGGAAAAGGAGGCGTTGAACCGTTCCCTGATTCTGTCGGATTTGCACATGCTCAACAAGGAGGACGGCATGGTCTACCTCACCAGCGATGACGATGTCGAACAGAGACCCGAATGGCTGCACAGTCATGTTGGTATTCCTGAGCCATGGAATGATGATGAGGACGACGGCGACAAGGAAGAGACGCCCGAAAGCCCAGTTGGGGACTCTGAACACCCACGACATCACACTGAGGATACGACGTGGTTCGACGTATCTCGCGATCACCCCGTTCACCGCATCTCGGACCCTCGTCGCTACCCACAATTCCCAGAAGGCTCCGCCCGCGCCGCCGGCTTCCAGCACCGCCGCCGAGACCAAGGCCAGAAGCCCATTCCCGATACGCCAACCCACAAGCCCGATCAGGAAGGCTACTCAAAGGCCCCAGCCGTTCTCGTCCTCGTCGACAAGGGCTCCGGCATCGTCGACGCTTTCTGGTTCTTCTTCTACTCGTACAACCTCGGTCAAATGGTCCTGACCATTCGCTTCGGCAACCATGTCGGCGACTGGGAGCACTGCATGATGCGGTTCGAGAACGGCGTGCCCCGTGGCATCTTCTTCTCCGAACACGAGGGCGGCCAGGCTTACACGTACAACGCCGTCGAGAAGCGGGGCGAGCGTCCCGTCATCTACTCCGCCGTCGGCTCCCATGCCATGTACGCGCAGGCCGGCGAGCATCCTTATGTCCTGCCCTTTAAGATGCTCAAGGACGTGACCGACAAGGGACCCCTTTGGGACCCGTCAAAGAACGCTTATACCTACTGGTACGACTATGTTCAGGATCTGGACGAGGACCTCGACGACGACCTCGATGACGAGGTCGACGTGGCTAGCGGCCACCGGAAGGAGAACCCCACCAGTCTGTTCCCCACGGCCGAGAACCCCGACGCGCCGACGTCATGGTTCCATTACGCCGGCCCTTGGGGCGATAAGCTCTACAGCTTGGCCGATATGCGCCAGTGGCGCTTGTTCGCGCAGTACCACTACGTCTCCGGGCCGTTGGGCCCAAAGTTCAAGCGGCTCGATCGCGAGAAGCTTTGCATTACTACCCGCTGCCGGATCCTGGATAGCTTAAAGCCTGGACAGACGTGGTATAGTTAGATGATTTTCCTTTTTTCTACAAGTAATGGTATAGATGAATTAAAGAACAATCAAACCTCAATGGAACAATTTCATATTTAATTGATACCTTGCATGCAACATTATGGTGAGTGCACTGGTGAAGAGGATCGCTTCGATGAGGAACCTACACATGTGTGACATATGCCCTCATTTCCAGAGAGCTCAACAGCCTCGGTAAGGTCCTCTGATCATATGTGTAAAGATGGGCGCATGTGATACGCAACTGTACAGAATACCAAAGTTGCAAAGTCCTTCTCATCTACCTGTATCTCTGCGCCTACTCCTTAGGTATCTATCTATCTGTCTCTCCTAAGAGCCAAAGCCTCCTTGCTGTATACAAACCGGTTCACAAGTCTGGTTATAGAAACTTGGGATCGAAACGAGGTTGTCATAGAGAGATTGGTTGTTAGCCAGCCCCGGCCAGTGCCTTCCTACATCCGACTCCCCGACCGCTTCCGACGGGACAGTTCGGCGCCGCTCCGATCCAAATAGCACCACCGACCCGACCTCATGCACGGCTCATGTGGACACACCCGTTTTCTATTGTATAGGTCTCTCAGACCTTGTCATGTTTCTTCGTCCGGTCACGAAATGCCTTCCAGAAGATCTCAGGTAAGGTACCATACATATGAGGCAGCAAGACTATAAGGGCCCCCGTGTCTCAAGTGGCAGCCTTGCCCGTCGATAAATAGACCAAGGTTCTGCTCTTGTTCCGTGCCTTGTGATGTTATACGCCGGCCTTATCGGAAATCTTAGTGGACCCGTGATTCGTAAAACTTCCAGACGGTCTTTGTTATTCCTAGTCGAGACTCGGGGTCCAGTATAACTAACTCCTCAGATGCTCCAGAGCCCGTCCCGGCAGGAGGCTACTCGCACGACAGTACGGCCACAGGCTGACATCTGTTGATCTCGGCGTTCTTCGCCAAAAACCTCTCTGAAGGGACAGCATTCAAATCTCTGGAGAGTCAGCTGGCCAAGGTAAGTCTGATGGGTTTAGCCAAGCCCGAATCAGGCTCCAAAATTCAAGTGTGGTATCCGCCATCCGAAGAAGGTGGTTTGCAAAGTCTATAACATCAATATAGGGAGAAATAAGACGATGATATATCCTCCTAGAATACCTGGTAGATTCGCCAAAAGATACAAAAAAATGAGCTACCTGTGGCATTATGTAGGACCACCAAATTCGAACTCGCAACCTCTGCAGGACCCAGTTACACGTTAATACTTCCTCCACTAGGTCGTATACACATTCAGGCGGTGCTCATACCTTCCATCTGAGAATGTTTGTCCTATAGATCCATGGGTCGAATGATCGTGGTGTATTCGTGGATGTGTATTCCATACTGCATGTGCCGCATTCTAGCTGGTACCAAGCACTGAAGGAACCTCATCACCTCATCGTTCTGTCACTTAACTTTAGAGCCTGTAAGAGGATTCCCTTTGAGACAGCTTTCCTGGCTGAAGTCATGCTATCTTATCTTCAAGAACTCAAGTCGACTCTAAAGATCGCTAGGTTTCCACAACACCACCTCAACATCATCGATGTGAAATCAATTCAAATTGTGGAGTTACTGTATAGTCAGCCTAGCCATACCGGTCGAAAACCTTGGATTGTTACGAGATTCTGCAGCCGTCTCAAGCTCAACATAATGCGTCCAGACGCGGCTTTTCCTTCTAAGAAACCCCCTACGTACAATCCCCTGTATGCAACCTCGATTACTTGAACAATTTTTTGCCAAGTCACATCATTCACGGAAGGGAATTTCAGCATTGATGATCTTTGAATGCTGACTTGCAACTTGCAACTTGCAAGTCTAAGCCAAATCCTTTTGCCAAGACATGCAATCAACCATGACTCGAGATAAAGGCTTCTCGGGTTTTTGTATGTAGCGACACGCCGACTTCGACTACAGTATCAGGAAGTAGTATATTAGAGTTCCTTAGAGCCCAAGTTCAGCTTCTTAGGTATTGATATTGCATGTTCAGCCAAGGAGAAAGGCCCAGTAACTTCTAGATTAGAGGACGTTGTGACAAGGGGAAAGGACTCGCTTACACTGTTCTGTAGATAAATTAAACACTCTTTTCCACTCAGTTGCGGGCCCGCTCACTTGAAATCTCATTAAAAGTCTGTAGCTTAGGCTATCTAGAGTTAGCTTGTGGGGTTTGGATTCATTCATAACCATAGTGCCGGGATGTCTACTTATGGAGTGTGAGCTTTTTCTCACGTGCCTGATCCAAGACGTACTTAAACCCTCCTTCCCCAAGACATGAGAGAGGCATACAGCGTAATATTCAAACTATCCTGAACACCCAGATACCTCGGATCCTCGAAATAACCATGAAGCTATCCGTCCTTGCCGGCATCGCCCTCTTCAGCAGTTCAGCTTTTGGCTTGATGAGATGGGAATGTAGACAGACACCGAACTCTGGCTGGGGCGTAAGTCGCAACCTCATCTTCAATATTCTTACGGCCCTCATTCTCTCCTTCTTTTGAGTGCAACTAGCATGATTCGATCAAGACTAACTTCTGAATCCCATAGGCTTCGAACTGCTCTCCTGATGACCAACGTCAGTGCACGACTTCGGCGTGTAACAGTAACGTGAGTCCTATCAATTGAAGATCGCGCGTGCTACGAAAAAATGCTAAGTAGTATAAACAGTGTCAGCGTGGTGCTCCTTGGAGCAACGCCCGCGGATATGCGTAAGTCCTATAGCGGCTTCAACTGTTGCCCAGCGTTGTGTACATACTGATGATGCTTGGTTCACTACAGCAACGTAGATCTTGGGGATGCTTGCGACTGTTACTGCTGGAATTGATAAAGGGGCGTATAAGCCCAGTCGGGGCAGTGTATTTTGAGTCCAGATTTTGATCAACGATATGATAAAGTTCCGGCCTCCATCTCAGACTTGCTTGACAGCGACGATATCAACATCTCGATGCCCAACTTGGACCTCCAAAGCAATGTCTTCTCTTGATGAAAGCGCACGCGATAATCTCAGTTGCCCGTCAACAAACACGTTCCATGTCCCAGGCCCCAAATTCCTCAGAACAGGCTTGATCGTCCTCGTCGAACCATCCCACGACCGCACAGTAAGCACCAGCATCCTCTCCTCCTCGCTCCAATCTCCACGCAAGAAGTCAACACCATCAGTCAACGTCACCGCATCAACAAATGGCCGCATCGAGACGTCTTGCGCGGTCCAAGGTTGCTCCCAGATAATCTTCTGCCCGTCCTCCACGTTCAACCTAGCGTACCCGATCGCTGCGTTGCCGGAAAACGGGTCCATGTGCGTCCACCTCATCTCCTCGTCAAACGGCTCGTCGTTGCGGGGGTAATACAGCCCGCCGCGCTCCCACTTGGGCCCCAGCTTCTCGTCTGCGTATTTGAGCAACGCCGTCAACTCGGCGTTCTTGCCCAGCTCAGAGAGCCACTGGACGGTATACCCAAACGTGGGCTTGGTATACGGAAAGCCTCCCTTCTTCTCCGCCTCAGCCTCCTTGGCATTCCGCACCGCCCGTTGGAGCGTCTCGCGCGAGTCTGGCGCTGCGCCGTCCTCCTTGACCAGCTTCCTGAACTCGTTGCCGACGACAGGCGGGTTTAGGCGGATCTCACCCCCTTCCGTGTTGGTGACGTACCCGAGGACCTGGTCTTCGTAGTGAGATCTCACGACGGAGCCGTTCCACGAGTTCATAAAGGCTGAGCCCCAAGCCGTCCACGCGGGATCTTTGGGGCGAATAGTGAAGTCCTGCTTAACCATCCACGCGTCAGGCAGCAAGCCGTCGGAGCCGACGAGCCCTTTCTTGTCCCATGCTGCTTTGTACTTTTCAAGGACGTCGTCTACGACCGAAGTACCCAGGCGAGCATCCCTCAGACGTATTCCGATCAGCTTCCAAAACTAGTCAGCTCATAATTTTCAGTTGTCACCGAAATACATATCGGTACTTACAGGAAACTGGTTGCAAACCACAAATACCATATTCGGCTCACAACAGACTCCAATCCATCCGTTCCCCTCCATCTCCTTGAGGATAGCATCCTGCAAGCTACCCGCATCATACGAGAACTTCTCCGGCCCCATCCCAAAAAACAACGGATTCCACAAAAACTCCAACGACCCCGGCCTCTCAAACTCGTCATCATCAAACAACATCCCATACAACGCCACCATCACCAGCAAATGCCCGCTATACATGATATTCTCCCTCACAACAGGATCAGCCCACGGCTTCCTGAGCTCCTTCAGGTCCGGATCGGTCGCGATTCCGGCCATGCTCGTGGTGAACCAGTACGCCCACACGGCGCGCAGGAGCATCTTGTGGATCGTCTGGCGCATGAGCGTCTTGTAGACGCTGCGGAGGGCCGGTTGGCGGTGGAAGTGCGCGGCGCCGGCGGCGTAGGTCATGGTCGCGAGCTGGTAGCGGTAGGCGTCGAGGAATTCCTGGAGGGGCTCCTGCGAGCCCATGAGGTTCCAGTCGTTGTCGGGCTGGGTGACGAGGTTGTGGAAGTGGCGGAGGTGGCCTGCTTGTTCGCGTGTTAGTTTGGGGTGCTTGAATAGGTCTGGTGCTTGTGGCTGGTGCTTCTGCTCTTCGCTCGTCATTGTGATGGTGGTGGTTGAAGACATGGCTACGATTCGGTTCGGTTTGCCGCGAGGCGATTGGTACAACGGCGACAATAATGATTTCGAGTCTACAAAGGCGCGAAACCGCTACATTCTGCCGATTACATTGCTTCTGTATGGATGCGGCGGACTTCATCAATAAATCCAAAAGATTCACGGGTTTCGGGTTTGACACGGGGCTACCCGCCCCATGATCGGCCGTAAGAAGCCGGACTACACCGGACCGTGGACACCGATCAACCAATATCAGACGAGGACCAACTTACGACGACCTAGAAGGAGTCGAAGGAACACAATGAAGTCTCCATCCTCGGCTCTACTCGGCAGGGGTGTTGCATTGCCCGAGCGCCCGGGAGACTCGATATCTTGCTTCCTGTTGGAGGAAGTGATTCCCGCGGGAGCGAACTTTAGTCGTAGTCGAGCGGGGATATGTCTCCTACAGGTTACGGGTAGCATCCTTCTCGCTGCTCCCCTCATTGGCTGCATCTTGTCTGACGAGTAGGATTTTTGTTGCCTAAAGAGGGTAATCGTAGTTCTAGCGACCAATCGAATGCCGTTGTGGAGGTTTGAGCCGTCAGTCATAAGGAATCCCCTCTACAATAGTTCGGGCCGGGCACTGCCTCTTTGGTAATTGTGATCCAGCTTCTCCGCGAGGAGGTTTATGTGTGAGATGATATTTACTTCAGGAAACCTCACGTGGACTTCTCAAATCTCATCAATGAAAGACTCCTGGATTCTTATCTGCAGGTCAAAGGGTGGTCAGAAATAGATAGAAAAGTAAGAGGGCCAAATATAGACCATTCTCTTTGGTGCTCCATGATACCACTGCAAACACAATTTTACCAGCTATGGGGTTTTTAGAACCTCACTTGATTGTCTTCAAGGATCAAAAGCACTTGTTTGCAATGCGATGGAATAATGCAACTCCTGAAGTGTCCCTATTGGCAAATCCTCAACCCATGACCAAACTCCAAGTGCAGTCCCAAACTCCGTCCAAAGCCTTTTTACCCAGTCCATCATTGATCTTGGGTGTCCATTATTGCAAACTCCCAAACAATTCAAACCGTAGTTCTGCAATACCACCATCATCAAACACGACTCCTCACTCAAACTTGCCCGACCCAAAGAGACCATTAACAGCCTGGTGTCTCCTCTCAGCACCCTTCCACTTCCTCGCCTCCCTCCTCTTCTCATTCTCCTGAATCGCCGCCCGGCGCTCATTCTCTCTCGCCAAAGCACTAACACCAGACTTCTTGCTCGCGTTCTTCTTGATCTTGCCATCGTCGCCGAAACCACCACCGCCGCCGCCACGAGCAGAGAAAGCCGCGGCGCCGCCGTTGCTAGCTCCGCTGCCGCCGATACCACCACCGATGCTGCCGCCACCACTACCCTGCGAACTCAACACGGACGAGTTCGTCGTCGCGCGCCGGAGCAGTGCAGGGACCCTGAAGCTGCTGCCGCCGCTAGAAGCCGAGGCAGCGGCGTTTGGCATAGCAAAGGCGAGCTTGGAGGACGTGGTCGACATGTTGGAGGATGACTGGCGTTTCATGGTGAGGCGGTCGACGACCACCTGGCGCGAATTGGTGCGGCGCGGATTCTTGCCCGGGGAGCGCTTCTCCTTGTTAAAGGGTTGCGCCTCCTCGTCGTCCGCATCGCTGTCCGAGTGCGGGTCCGTGGCGGGAATCACCTCGTTCAGATCCTCCAGCAAGCTCGAGACGGACTCGCGAATCTCGCCCAGGTTGGAGGGCCTCTTGCCGTCCTTAGTCCTGCGCGCGTTGGTGGTAAATGGCACGTTGGCGGCGTTGGAGGCGAGAGGTGCAAGTTGCGCTCCAGGCTGGCTGTCTGGGACAGTGGTCTGCTGCTGCTGTTGCTCCTGAGACTGCGAGTCCTCTGTCTCCGTCGGCTCGGGCGCGAAGTCGAGGAAGTCCATCTCCTCGTCGCTGCCGCGGTCCTCGATGGTGCGGAGGAAGGCCTGGTTGCCGGGTTTCTCGGCAATCTTTTTGATGCGCTCATCGGCGAAGAGGGCCTGCTGCATCTTCTGGAACTGGCGACGCTTCAGACGCCGACGTGCCTCGCCGCCGTCGTCCGAGTCAGAGAGGTCGTAGTCGGCGCCGCGCTTGCGACGGAGCATACCGGTTGTGATGTCGTGGAACAGCTTGTCGACCATCTTCTCATCGCTCTGACGCTCATTATCACTGAGAATATCGTTAGCCAAGAACATTGTGACCAAGACAGGAATCACTTACGCGTGAAGAGCAGCAAGCTTGCGCTCATCATCGGCGGTCATGCCGTTCTCGTCGTCAATCATCTCCTTGACGGAGGCAGCATCACTGTCGTCGTCGCTGTCCTCACCATCCGCACCTCCGAGTCCTGCATACTCATCCTCAGACTCGTCGGCCTGTTCCTCCACCATTTCCTTGGCCTTGCTCTTCTTGCGGTTGTACTCCTCCGCCTTCTTGAGCTGCTTCTGCTTCTTGACAGCCTCCTTCATGACATTGAAAGCTGTCGTCTTGAAACCGAACTCGTCTACTTCGGGACTGGCCCTGGAATCCTCGACATCTTCGTCGTCCGCGGCAGCAGCTACGACGTCAATCTTGCGACGCAGTTTGCCCCTTCGGACAAGGGGCGAGTCCTGCACCGATACGACCTCGGTGTCCCTGTCGAAGACCATGGTATCCACGGTCGAAGGGGGCGGCTCGACGAAGCGCTGCTTCAGAGGTGTGTAGTCTTGCGGTCCTGCATCCTGAGTGGCATCCATAGAAGTTTGAGTGAACGGGTCGTCGTCGCGCAGGAGGCTGTCAAATCCACGCGCTTGGGATTGAGTGAAGTGTAGGTGTACGCCCTCTGCGGAATCCGGCTGCGTCTCGGCTCTCTGAGTGTCGCCACCCTGGCTGTCGAGAATCATGCTGTCGTTTTGTTGAGTAAGACCCATCAAGTTAGAGTCGGGGAGGCTGTCGAAATCTGGCATAGGTGATTGAGAGGGGATCGTGCCAGCAGCCGCCTGGCTGTCGTCCATTGTACCAGCGAAGATCTGGGTGAGACCCAGCCCAGCGGCTCCTGTAACGGGCAATCCGGGAATGAAAGTCTTCTTTGCAGAGCGCAGTACCGAGGTGGGAACGGCGGGTGATTTGGTGTTGGGTGCAACAGGGGATTGTTGAGTTGCAGTCCTGGGTCTAGGCGTCGCCTCGATTCTGTCCTCGTCTTCATCATCCGAGATGACTTGGCTCTTCTTTGATCGACGGATGTTGCGCGTGGGAAGACCCATGTCGTCCTCGGACTCGGGATCATTCTCGACTTTTTGGGCATCAACCTCGGCCTCAGGGTGTTCTGAGCCGCTGTCATCAGCTTCGTTGTCGAACAACGCAATACCTTCCATTTCCACCTCGGAGCCATCTTCTTCATTTCCATCGACATCCTCGTCTTCAGAGCCAGACAGCTCAAGCTCGATCTCAACGCCTCCCTCCGCCTCCTCCTCGGAACCGTCGTAGGACTCATCGTCACTGTCGTCCCAGACGTCGAGCTCGCCATTCTTCCTCTTCTCCTTCTTCTCCTGCTTGGCAGCTGCTCTCTCGCGCTCCATAATTTCTTCGGCTTCCCTCCTGGCGCGAGAGACAATATCCTCAACCTCTTGCATCTCGCGTTCACGCTCCTCGGCAGTCTGCACGACGATGCCCTTCGATTTGAGGTACTCGAGACGCTTTTCGCGCTCGATCTTGGCTTGTTGGCGGGCGCGCTGCTGTAGCGTCATCTGCAACTGAGCCGTGGTGATTGTTGCCTTTTCGTATTTCCTCTTCCTCTCCTTAGTGGGCGATCCCACCCGAGCGAGGCGGCGCAGATTTAGTAGAGATCGAGATGCATCTGCCTTATTTCCCGGAGCCCTATTAAAGATAGCGTCAAATTTGCCGTTCTTAGCGATGGCCAACTCGTTGTCGTCGTCAAGGTCGATGACTGCATGGTTGACTGAGACTGAGGGCAACTTAATGCGGACTTGACGTCTGGGTTTGACATCCTTGACGACAGTTTCTTCAGGAGGTGCAACGGCCTTGCCCTTGCCCTTGTCAACTCTTCTCGATGCCTCGAACACGTCGTCGAGAGAAAGCATGTCGCCGCCGTCATCGAAGTCAATAGTTGGCTGCGCGATAGTCGTGGGCTCTTGGACCTTGACAGGGGAGGCAGCCTTGGCGACAGGCGGGGAGCTAGGCGGTGTCTCGGGATCCTTCATCTCAGCGTCGGTCTGGTGCGCTGAGACGGGTGTGGTAGGGCGGCTGGAGCTCGACAACTTGGGGTCAGACTTGGGTTGAGCTCCAAAGTTGAACCGCTGGAGGAAATCCGCCTTTGTGAACTTCTTCCTCGTCTTGGCCTCGTGGGCAAGCTGCATGTTACGGGCCATGCGCTGTGTCTCGCGAGCCATCTCCTCGACGGCCTTCTTCCCAGCCTTCCTCGTGGGCCGAACGGCCTGGCTGAGCTTTCGGCCGCCCTCGTCATCAGTGATATCGGAGACGTTGCCAACGTCCTCATCGTCGTCAAAGAGGTCGACGTTGCTGACGGGCTCGCGTTCCATTCGCTCGGCGCGCTTCTTCTCCTCCTCGGCTTCGCGTGCGAGTCTCTCTTGTTTCTTGCGCTCGACGAGTGCCTGGAATCTGGCGTTCTTTGTGATTGCGGGGAGGGAGTCTGAGTCGGAGGCGTCGTCTGCTGTTGTCGCGGCAGTAGGTTTCACAGGTGATTGCCGGTCCGGAGACACGAATAGTCCAGGACTCGACCGCGCCGCTGGGCTCTGTGGTGGCGGCGGAGTAGTGTGTCTATCCTGCTTCCTTTGCAGCCGCCGCGGTGCTACCGGGATGTCGTCTTCCTCATCCACATCACCCATGGTAGCGTCCTCGTCCTCTTCGTCATCGTCGTTGCTGGAGCCAAGTCGTCTTTGGATCCGGTCCATGAAGCTCTCGGGCTCGTCCTCTGCGTCTGAAGGCTCGGCGCCGCCCTTTAGCTGGGCAGCGAGCCGTCCTCTGGGGCGAAAGACGACTTCTTCTTCCGAGTCACTTGCCTGGGTGGCTTGTGGTGGTGATTTGCTCTTCTTGCGGGTCTGTTTGGGTTCATCGTCTTCTGAACTGGTGTCAATGGCAGCCAAACGGGCTTCCATTCGTGCCTTCATCGTCTCTGGCGCTGGGCTCGCGCTGGGGGAGCGCGATGCGGCCTTCTCAGAAGCCATGGTGAGTTGTGGGTGTAATTATAGTGAGGCAGGAAGCCGGGTATCAAAAAACATAGAGACCAATGTGAAGTTGCTTGAAGTGCGATGTATTTGCAGGTACCAATATTGCGTGAAGAGTGTTTTGGTAGAGGTGAGTGTAGGGTGGTGGGTGGTGGTGGAATTAGTGGAGTGAAAGTCAATTAAGAGCTCTTTGACGCGTCTGGCCGACGCGACGTGTTGGTGTGCGCTACCTGTGGGACGAGACGGGACGGGGGCTTATCGCGAAACGCGGCACCACTAAACACGCCGATAAGAACCGCTAAAGTGACACGGGACCCACCCGGAGCTCACACCGGCCGGAGCTCTTATCGATAAGCGCAGTGTAGATGGTTTCGGTGACCTCACTTACAACCTGACTGAGGTGAGGAGCACCTATTCACTGAGAATCGATAATACAGGGAATCTTGGAGCGCAAAGTTGTGTTGAGATACTACTTGTGATTCATCAACTTCTTATGTGGTGTCTATCTCAGAGTCGTGAATACGCAGGAATGAACACTCCACGAGAAGCCTATATACCCCCTCTCAACTCCATTCCTGTCACCAGCACAGCAGGTGCCCGTCTAGGTCGGCGGGTCAGGTCAAACTGACTGGGTGGTGGAATAGTTTAAGGTCAACAATCAAATCGCCAACCAGCCTACTCGACGACAGGCTAAGCGCATACGAGTGCCCAAGTTCGAATCCCAGCATGAGCACCCAGAGATGTAGCCCCCAAATCGGCACCGGGGGGGTGAACTCTACTTGGAATCCTCTTCTACATCAGTATTCAATTGCAGCCGTAGACTGTTATGATATTCATGACTTTACTATCGCTTTGAGGGTCTTCACTCGACCATCTCTACTTCCCCCCCTATCCAACCAACCTCCTCCCTAAATCTCTCCTCTTCAACCCAGGCACCCTCTCCCCAACCGACTTTGCAAACGTATCCACAGACCACGCCCTACCATCATCGTTATACCCAAAATCCAACACATAATACCCGACCATGACCACCAAGATCAACGGCGCCGACGTCACAAAGTACACCCAAAACAGCTCCCCGCCAGGCCCAAACGGCTTCTCAATCGAAAACACGGACGCCGTATACGCCAGCGGGATGAATACCAACCCCAGCAGCGTCACCGCCTTGGTGCTCTTGGCCTCGCGGATGCTCCGCTGCTGCTCCTTATACGCCTGCCTGTTGCCTGTGATACCCGCCAGCCCCGTCACCGCCGCGTTGAGCATCTCAGTCCGGTGACGTAGTTCCCGGAACCGGAGGTGCAGAAACTGGAAATCTGCTGAGCTGTCCGACCAAGCGGTGACGTTGGATCGCTCCGGCCCCGTTCCCGGTCCCGGCACCGACCCCGGCTGTGGTGGTATACCGATGGGCGGCGCAGTGGATCCCGTCGCTGGGGTTTGTGTCGGCGACAAGGGGATCCCGAGCTGCAGCATAATCCCCTCCACGTCCTCGAGATACTCCCCCGTCCGCCTCTCCCACCCCTGCATATCGCTCCAAAGCGCCTCGACCTTGGTCATGGGCAGCTTCGCGAGGTCCTGCTTGCGCGTGAGACCCCGCTGCACCGCCGAGAGCGTCGCGCGCAGGTGCTCCGTTTGCTTTAGCAGGTGCGAGGCCACAATCTTGCTCACAAAGACGTTGACGACGGATTCGGGCTCTGTACTATCTACCAGCCCCGCGTGCGTCTCGAGGTAGAAGGCGAGATCGTCGAGCATGGAAGTCCGCGGGGGTCCGCAGTGATGGTGCTGGGTACCCCTTTCTCTGACGATGCTGATTTGCGATTCTTCTGGGACGAAGTCGAGGTAGCCACCCTGGTAGGGCCAGGTCTTGACTTGGTGCTCTATTTTGTAATTTTCTCCTGTTCGAACGCTTCGTACCGGAGGATCACAGAGTACGAGGCCTACACATCATCAGTATCAAGAATAAAGAGTCAAGTATGGCCGGCAACACTCACAATCCCAACCACCACCTTCACTCCTCCTCGACCAAACACCACACTTCCTCCTTACAACACCCACATTTAAAAACCGATCAAACTCGTCGTCGGGCGAATTATCCCACTGAAACTCCCTCGAGACCCCAATATGCCGCCCTGTCGCGGCGCACACCCACCGAAAACTCGTCGGCCGCGTGTCAAACGTCACGACCTCGTAGTACTTCATCTCCACGTGCCCGCGGCTCCGAACCACCGACGGCAGCTGCGCGCCGTCGCTCTCGCCCGTCCAGTTGACGTTGTGCACGACCACGCGCTCGTGCTCGACGAAGACGGAAGGGTGTAGTGAGAAGTGGTGTCCGAAAACGCCTGCGAATCCGGGGCCGAGGCCTTGGAGGATGTAAATGTTTTGCTGGTCTTGCTGTCCTTGCTGTGATGCCGTGTTGTTGTGGAGGTGTGTTTCTAGGTCGACTGGTGACTCAAAGTGTGCTGTTCTGGCGAAGGTGCCGTTGTCTCCGAGGCTGAGCTTGACGACTCTGACGCCGTCGTCTGTGAAGGGGATGCGTTGGATTTGGGCCTTGGGGTCGCGCTGTCTAAGTCGAGGGTCTGAGGAACACAGGGGCCGGACAAAGTCGTCGTAGGCGCCTTCGGCAAGCCACCCTCCATCTTTCTCCATGTCGATCAATTGAGTCACGAAGCAATGTTTCTGGATGATCAACTGTTAAATGATGAACTGGGTATGCTCAATGTGAAGATCGAGACTACGGTAAGCAGACAGCAATGAACGAGCCGTGAATGAGGCGCTGACAAGAGTCACTATCTAACCTCAACTTATGAGAATTAGCTCTGGGTTGTGGGGTATTTGAGTAACTTCAAGATGATGAAAGCAAAGCAGGCTGCCGTAGGATTCTTCGGTCTACGTAGCCAGCGGCTGAGATATGGCGGGATAGAAGTGCAGTCACGCTTCCCCATCCGCCCTGAATTGAAGCTATAGAAAAGTGTCTTTGCCCGATTTGGACACCGAGCGTGGCTTTGCTCACTCCCGACTTTCAGGCTGCCTGATAGGTACGAGTATCACCCCTCACCTTACGCCAATAATAATTCCTACGCTTGCGCGCCCTTCGAAATTAATTCAACTTCTCCAAGGGTAGTTCTCTCGTAAAAGATCCAGGCGGCGCAGTGACAAACATGCCGACATGGAATACTCCTCGTCTCTCGACTGCCTTAAACTAACAATTGCATGCTCCCAAAATGAAGCAGCTTACTCGATAACATTAACGAAAGCTCCCAACTCCCGACTCATCAATCAAATATTTAGTGTTTTCTCAAGCGTTGTATTGGCTCTGTGCCTTGATCGCCTCGCCAATGTTGATCCAGTCGAGCTTTTGTCCTCAGTCAGCCTCACACAAATAAGACATTGACGCCATACTAGCACGGCCAACTCGTTGCCCAAAAAAGAGAGAAACTTACCAAAACGACATTCGCTGTCCTTCCCCACATCCCTCTACACAAGTTGACCTGCTTGTCAATAGACGACAAGGAATTCGTCTTTGGCGCCTCAATTTGATTGGGGATCTTGATGCCTGCGAAGAGCTCGATGTCGAGGAAATGGTTGACAAGGTACATGAAGCCATTAGGGTCGACACCCTGTGGCCGGTCGATGTTGCAGTTGGGAAAATCCGCGTTCGTCTCCCCGAAGGGAGTCTCCCAGTAGTACTGGAACTCATCGAGAATGTAATCGACTTTGCTCGTGTCGGCGTGATAGTCTGTCGTACTCAGTCACTGCCAGATGGCTTATAAAAGGCGGGTGAAGACATACCCATGAAAACGACCAGCCTCGTCCCGTCGTCAATCAGAGTCTGAAGTGTAGGCCACTGGTCTATAGCCACTTTGTCCCCAGGCTTGAAGACGTACTTATCCAAACCGGTACTCTTGAAAGTGTCGCCAAATTGCGTTACCGGCATTGCGTCAATGTTAGTGAGAAGCAAGGTGACCACTTCACGCGGATGCGCCTCCATCCAAGTGTCTATCTCTTCGAGATACTTGGACAAGGGACCCGAATCTAACAGAGCGCAGTCCGTATGGCACATCTGGATCTGCCCATCCTTGTTCTGGGTCTGAGCTTGTAGGAAGCGTACGCCGAGATCGAGCTGGTCCGTTACCGACACATATTGATTGTGGGCTGGAGTGATACCAACAAAGGCACTGTTGTGGGATCCGACAAACGTCACGTCAGAATACTTCTTTGCGCAGAGAGCGTCGTTGCCGTTGCAAGCCGCCGCGGCGACAACGCCTACAAAGGCCGGCAGAAAGCAAGCAACACGCATAGTGATATGGTAATGATGGACAACGATGGAGACATCAGGATCGTCAACTTCTTGGGGTCACCAATAGCTGGTATATAATCAAGGCAATCAAGCACAGCAATCTTTCAGCCATCAGGGGTCTGGCGATAGCTTAAAGTGACATCTCGGACGAGCTGGCGAATCAGAAGTCATATTGGACACCTGCCAACACTCTGGACGAAGACCTTGGGAGGCCAACACTCCGAATGTGGAAGCGTGTGTTGGTTTAGAGCTGAATGACCCCTCGTAATGGAACGGTCCGACATGTGAGCGATGGCACCCAAGAGCCATGCCTCTGCGGACTGTTGCCATCGAAGTGACGGCTCGTGTTCGTGTGATTGGGTCATGGCGTGTCCTGGAGATCAGGCAGGTGGGATTAAGACGGAGAGGGGTTCTCGAAGGCTTGAGATGCCTGTCCAGACGGGCAGCTTTGCCACATCCATCAGCCAGTTAGTAGGGATGGGTTCTGCGATTGCAGGCCTATACGCTCAACCGTCTATGGGCAGACGAACTTGCCATCAACGCTTGGAAGCGGGACGTGAAGGGAATAGAAGAGCAGTTATCGTTTTCTTGGCAACGGGATAGAGTCAACGTGGTCGGCATTTCAGGGCTTCGAAGGCGTTCTGGATCAACGATGATTGGTCTTTCTGGCCCATGGCTGCCAGCTTCATGCGCCACACCTCTCCTGTTGGAGGACGTTGTTGTTGGACACGGTGGATTGGCTGATGTGAGAGGAATCGAAGAAAAGAGGTCTGCTTTAGTCGTTAGGTGAAACATGGAGGTTGACGAATGACGGTCTCGGGTCGGGAGGCTTCGAAAAGGGCGGGTGGCGGCAGTCATCAGGGCCCGGCAGGCGCAGAGGGGGGCCACTGGGGGCTGCAAAGGCGCTAACGCCGGTAGTGGCAGGGGCCGTTCAGGGGAGAAACTCTTGGTGGGCAGCTGGCATCCACACTTGCTGACCTTATTCGCTGGGGCCATCTGCAGCTCTATGTGGCTGCACTCTTCTCCTGCCCTCTACGGCAATGTGATCTTCTCCCAAGAACAACGTCACGAGAGACCTAGTTGCAATTACAACCTTCAGAATCGACAACTTGACAACCTCGGTCACTGCCGTTCTCAAAGATCCATCATAGAATCATCTCCGTTCGCACACGTGGTTCACCTTCTTGCCTTGGTCCGCCCACGAAGATTGAGGTTACACAGACTCTGGCTATGTCCAGTCTGTGGCCGTGTTCACGATACTTTCTGCTCGGCAGTGACTACTGTACATGTGCCTACAGTCGGCTGGGCCGTACCAAGACTTTACCTAAGAAAATCCGCACATCTCGGGATGATTCTAGCTTCATGACAGTCTGAACTTGTGAGAAACGTCACTCTTGGCGGGCAGACGTTGAGAACGAGACGAGCCACACGCGATTGTCGTCTAGGCGCCTACGCGAAAGCATGCACGGCTCACTTTCGACTATAATTGCTCTGCTATGATGCTCCAAAGCAAGGGGATCTGGACGATGATCCTTATGCCGCGCTGAGAAAATGGGTTCCTTACCGAAAGTCGAACAGGGGTTAGTTCAACCAAGGTGTTTACCAGGCTCAACACCTTTTGTCAGGAAATCGTCGCAACTGAATCAGAATTCGCGCTATTCGTCCCTTCACCACTTCAGTCTCCGTCTTATGGAAGCAATCTCGAGGCGCAGCGCTCTTCGTACTTCGGACGAAGCCAAGACATGCAACCTTACGAAAAAGTCCTCGGATCGTGACAATGAGATGCTAGCAACGGCCAAAGGAGGCCCCCTTCGTCTTATTTGTCCTGCTAGCCTTCACCGATGGACCCGTTCTACCCGATAGCTCCGTTCATGTGCTACACGAAGCTAGACAACCTTAACGAGCTTCCGGCAGTCGTTTTACAGAGTATGTCCATTTCAGGGCAGAATGCCTCGGTCACTTTCTGTTCCCGGTCCTTGTGAGATCCTTGGCCGGGCTACCCTGATCATCGTCGAACACACCGACCCGGACTTTGGGGTCCATGGTACGCGTACAACTTGACGAACGCGTTGAACCCAACGATCTGGTTCTTCATCTTGCCACTGCGAGCTGGGAAAGATTTGTGTATCTGAAAACACGGGCCGGGTTTGAAGCAATAAGCACGATGTGGTTGACGAAACTCATCCGCATATCGCGGAAGAATTGCACTGATCGATGGGGAGCCTCAACGCTGGTGAAGTTCGATGAAAAGACCGTCTGGACACCGAATGCGAGAATGCGATGATGCAGCGAAGGAGTTCACAGATCACCATGGCTTCCAAACCCGACGAGCGCGCAGCCATGACAATTCATGAGACAAGCGAAATGGAACCCACCATGACCAGGTCGAGGTCTGGGGATCACCAAAACTAAACAAACTCAGATTGCGACCCATCGAGGCTGCAGATTTCTCACCTGTGTCGCAAAAGGGAGCTAGGTGGCCTGCACAGCCCTCAGAACAAGCATATCCGCCGATCGACGTCATCCCCATTTGGTTATGCTTGCTTTCTTGCGCGGCGGATTTACCGGCAGATCCCCCTCCTCAGTTCCTCGCACCAATGAGTTCGACTACACCACCTTGTCTACCTTGTCCCCCTTGCCGGGGCCCTCAGTCGGCTAAACTGCGCAGAGGGCAGAGGGGGAAGGGCAAAGGGGGAAACAACCGTGCGCATCGTGGACGAAACATGGAATTCCTCCGACGTCCGAGTTCGTGCCTCTCTTTGCCTAGAGTTTCGCCAAGGGCTGTCAATCGGCTCGTCGAAGGCTTGTCATAACTCGAGTCGAGACGGCATCCCATTGCCGAGCTTTCGTCCCGCCTACTGGTCCTGCCAAGCCACGTCAACGGCCGGCTGGAAATGTCACAACGTCACGTCGTTCACGTCTCTTCGATGACGGTTCGAAGTTTGTCGTGAACTTTCCTCTGGTCAAGATCCCACCACCTCGGACGCAGGTAATCTAACTTCGATGAGTAATATCGCCCCAGCTCCCTATGGAGAAAGGGACCACAATCTAAGTCTATCCGTCTTCTTTCCGAAGACCGAAACGAAAGCGGAGTCTTATCTACCTTGTGTACAGATAGAATCTCTGCCTACGCACTCTCAACTTCTACCTCATATGTCCTTCCGCCTCTGAGTGGAACCCGGCCACGGTGCGTCGAGCTGTGTCGAGAGATCCGGGGCCCTTACCCAACAAGGCATGGTGGCATGGCCTCGACGCTCTCCCGTACTCGGAGTATGGAGACCTGAGGGGCGCCCACTTGCCTCCCGGAGCTTCCTGAACACGAATGGAGACGCTTCTCTCGCGAATTCCGTGGTGTTTGGCCCCGTCTCAACCTCCATCAGAATCAGTCAGCGGCGTATCTGGCCCAAGCTCGCTGGTCAGGGCCAGCGACCTCACACGCCTCACGTTTGAGGATCTACACCATCCTAGCGTCGTTCTCAAATCTTTTGCAGAATGACATGGGATGGCCCTTGTTCTTCCCAGGAACGCTCCCGCCGCTAAACCTTGTCCGACATCATCGTCGCCCTCATCGACGCCGAGCCCCAAACAACCGTGGAGACTCCTTAGCCTTACTCCTGAAGAGAGCCTCCTCGCTTCCCCACAACTATGATTTTCAGAGATCTACCAATCGGGTCCGATATCACCAATAGCTTGTTCCTGCATAATCCATTCTCGCCGTCTTTGCCGGAGGGAAACTGGACTCGGTCTATGTAACTCCCTGGCGCGTGGCGTTTCTCTCTCGCCTGGCCATCGCTCAGGACCCGCAAACCCCTTCGAAACGATCGTAAACCAATCGCATCTTTGGAAAACTCGTCTTTGCTGGTGCACACAGCCTGCGTCGTCCAGTCGTCAGATCAATGCTTCAACTGATCTTTCGTGAGAAGTCAGCGGCAAGATGCTTCACTCAGGAGAACGACGCAACGGCCGCAATCCCTGGTCTTGGGAGATGGGCCCGTAGTTTGCCAAGCCCCATCAAATGTCTCCCAAGACTGTCCAAGACCTGTCATCCAGAGTATCGACAAGTTTGTATAAGAATCACTCGCATGTCCGGTCAAACTTTCATCTTTTCCCTTCTCATCAGCATCTCATCTTCACTTCAGCCTTCTTTCATCTGCCTTTCTTTCCGACACGAGCCCGGAGCTCCTACACGGCCTTTTACACTTTAATAGTACACATTCTTAGTTTTACTCAACTTTCACCAATCTTTTCAACCGCCAAAATGAAGTACGGCTCAGCTCTCCTCCTCGCGGCTTTCGCTGCCACCAACGTCTTTGCCCACGGTGTCATCGACGGTGTTCAGGGTGCCAACGGTGTCAACCTTCCCGGTCTTTCTTGTAAGTCAACAAACCAGATTTAGACACAAGAGCTTCGACTAATACTTTCCAGTGATCGATGACACTCCTCGTGACTGCGCCTCTCCCCGCTGCGGCTCCGAGGCCGATACCTCCATCATCCGTGACCGCGAGCTCGGCACCGCCAAGGCCTCCGCTCTTGGCCGCACCCAGGGTGGTGGTCCTGTCGATGCCGCCGCCATGATGCAGACCTTCATGAACGGTGCCGCCGGCAACACAACCGCCACCAAGGCTGCCCGTGAGATCCACGAGGCCAACCTCGCCCGCCGCTACGCCAACATTGCCGCCCGCCAGGCCGGCAAGGGCACCAAGACCCCCAAGGGCACCGTCGAGACTGGTGTCAAGGCCGCCACCGGTATGGCTGCCCAGCAGGGCATGCCCACCACCGCCGACGACGGCACCATCTCCATGACCTTCCACCAGGTCAACCAGGACGGCGCCGGCCCCCTCAAGGCTGACATTGACGGCACCTCCGGCGGTACTGACCCCGCTGCCTTCAAGACCGCTGAGGTCACCCAGAACGTCCCCGGTATCGGTATCGGCGGTCTCTCCGGTGCCTCTACCATGGACTTCCCCGTCAAGGTCCAGATGCCCGCCGGCATGACCTGCGACGCCAACGTCGGTGGCGCCAGCAACGTCTGCGTCGCTCGTCTTCGCAACGCCGCCCTCGCCGGTCCCTTCGGTGGCTCCGTCGCCTTCACCCAGTCCACCGCCGCCCGCAAGCGCGCTGTCGAGTTCAACCTCAAGAAGCGCTCCGAGCGCCGCTCCGCCCGCGACTTCAAGGCCTAAAGTGGTTTCGCACTTTTTCCGAGCATCGGACAAGTAATTTGCGCACGGCTACGCAGCAGGGAGGGAAGAAGGTCGCCATTTACATATTTCGATGTCGACAGATTGGTTCGATCGAGTAACCCTGCCAGGGGCATTGGTGCTGCGATCTAACAATCGTCGAACGGGGGGGTTAAACAGTCCAAACAGACTGAGTTCTGGCTTCATTGCTTGCTACTCTCTCTCTCTCTCTTATCATTGCATTCCATCCTTTATATGATATCCTGTGGATACGTTGGGAATTTGTCTATAGTCCTGCTACATAGAAGTGTTGATGAAACAACGATGCTTTGTGGTTCTTGAAATTGTTTTATCAATCTACTGGTTTCTGTGATCTCGAGCTTCCACTACCATTCTCGCAAATAGGAGAATATGGCTTTCCTCATCGATCGGACCCCAACGAGAAACTACGCCGGATTTCGAGAAATAAGCATCCCGTTCACAATGTCACTGCCAGCTACGGGGTGGAGCAAAACGGGCGGAAGTGGGAGGATCTGCAACACTCCCGCGGAAGCGCCTGCACGAGGCCGAGTTTTACCCACGTAGATCCTGCTGGGTGGTGGCCTGGCTTACGCAACGCCACACTCTCTAGAATGAACCTACTTACTACTCATCCCCCCAGGGACCTATGGAGATTGTGATTCAACTGGCCTCTAGAGCATATTGTGACCCGGGGATTTCGTCTCCCACAATGGAAGTTGCTTCCGGTTCGAGAATTATTCAGTCCTTCTCAGCGTTGTGTTTGCCCGGTGGCCAATGTGAGGTTCGGATGTGTAAGATGCGTGTAAAAGAGCGTGAGTCGACTCGGCGAACCCGGCGGCCCTCCCACTTTCCACATACTTTCGTCTGAACTCTTTGATGCGGCGTGCCTGGGCGGTGCCTGGGCTGGCGTCATCACTATTGGGAGGTATGCTGTTCTTTTCTCCTAGACGCACCCTTCTCACATCGAAGGAGATTCTTTTCTAATGGCTGGCCACGTTTTCATCGTTTCGCAAGTGGTTGAGAAAGATCCGTTATTCGGATACGAAGTGCCATCTTTCAGGTCTTGACTATGGGTCCAGGTATGAATGGGAAATATCTCTGAATACATTTGATTCATCATAAGTATTACTGGCGCCTTCAATGGACTGAACCAATAGTTCGTAAGGTGACCAAGGTTCTAGAAACACCCCCTTCTTGAACCCACTCACCCTCCGGTCCTCCGGGCGCGAGCACGGATAAAAACTCCAGAAAGCCTCACTTAATTCTAGAACATAGAGATGGTGGTTGGGGGCGTGAAGTGAAGAAAGTTTTTCTCCCACTGGAGATGGTGTGGTATACGTCAGCGGGAATGCCGGGCATAGCAGGAGCGGCGGCTACCCTCTTATTATTCTTCCCTTTTGACTTCCTGTTGAATGCCGCGCGGCGTTGGGGTGGCATGTGTCCCGTTCCTGTGGGTGTGTAGATTGAGAGTTTCCGAAATCCAGAATGACCCAGAATGGTGGGAATTACCTCGGAGTTCCGAGGTTCGGTTCCATCTCCTTGGGTCTTTTTTCCCTTCTTCTACCTATCCAGTTCATCTGCGCGGATTTGGAATGTCTGCGAAATTTCCTACAGAAGAGCGGATGGCGTGCAATGTTTCATGGAAGTTTGAGAGACACTCGAGATGGGATTTCTGCCAGCCCCAATTCTCTTTCTTTTCCGGATTCGGAAATACGGGTCCGCCGCTGAGAACCCCCCACTCGGCTTCCGCACATTGTTTGTGGTCCGGGGCCCCGGGCCCGGTGGGTGGGATAAGGAATATGGGGGAAGGAGGGGGAAAAAAAAGAAAAGCTCTGATGGTTTGAGTTGTTTTCTGCGGAGAATATGGCCAGGCTTATCGGGTTGATTCTGTACCCCGGCGGAGATCTCGGAGAGTTTTAGTTTCTTTGCCTTTCGTGACGAACGGATTTCGAGGATGCGTTTGCGGTGCATGGTATTACGATTCAAGTAGGACAAGAGCCGCATGCGTATGATAAAGTTTTCCTTTGGAGGACGAGGTCCTTCGGGCTATCTGCATTCTCCCGCCTTCATCCATTGTGGTTGAAGTAAGGTATGCTGAGCTTCTTGGCTAACGGCTTTGGCTTTAGAAGAATCATGACGAAAGACGTAGGTAAGCTACAGTTTAGGAACCCTTTTTTCCATTGCTCGCGACTTGTACCAGGGTTGCTTGCCGTCACTCTCAGAGTGCTAGGATGGACAATCACCATGGTTTGTTTGTCCAGTTTTGGGGATTCTAAATGTCTAGTGGTTTGTACCAAAGTCGGCCTCACCGGGCTTGGTCTGTTTCTGTTTTACCGAGAGAAAGTTGCAGGCCTCTGCTGATGACGCGCTAAGAGCATGCCAAAGAGGGCAGCTATTCTGTACGTTTTATGCGTTCAAAGTTGGTTATGGCAGATGTAGCTATTCATCTATCCTTCTGGGCTGAGAAACCACTTCGTACTCATTGTCGCCCCTCTCATTCTGAGGCAAGATTCCAAGTAACGGTTTCAACTTTCGTTGATCATGCAGTATCAAAAGACTGATGAGGTAGTTTATATAGTATCTCTATTTGAATGGGTAGGTCGGGTGAGATCATTGCTGTAAGGGAAACAGCCTCGCTGCGTTCTTCCAAGAATATTGCCCACATTTACGTTGGCCTGTACAGGAAGTTCTCGACATGCCTATGCTATGAGATCCATGGCTGCCTGGCCATGATCATAGAATATCAGACATCCCTATCCAAGCGCGGTATCCCGCGTATACTCGACTCTGTCATCCCAGGTCGCCCAGCCAAACACGTCGAGGATCGAGGGTTCCAGGCTCAAAGTCTCTAAGCTCACGCTGTCCGTATAACATATTCATTCAATCTGGTCAAAGGAAGGAGTTGAGCAAGATCGCATTTGCCGCTGATGCCCTCGCGAAACAAGATGATGATTATCTACGGATACTAACAGCAAGTCAATATGTACTACAGTAGGTGTTGAAGAGGAGCCTGATCGGGCCGAGGTCCCGCAAGCCGCAAAATCGCGGTTTCGGCGGTTCCCTTTTGACGTTCCATCCTGTGAAAGGGGATCCCGGCAGGGACGGAACGGCAAGATGACCTACGCCGACACTCCGTGCCAGCTCGCCAAGAAGGGTAATTCAACGACAGTTCTGTTAGTCTATTACTAGAAAGCCACAATGTAACTGCCTAGTTATAGATTGCTCGGAAGACGCGGATGTTTTCGGCTACTTCTCGCTCCCAGCTACATCTGTCTATCTGGCTGTCTAGAGTCTAGACAGATGTCTTAAGACACCCACAGCGCAAACCCCGAGAGAAGCACGCATGGAATTGTGTAATCTCACTAACGAACCCAATCAGGGACAATCACACTGGCAAGGATAAATCCCAACAGTAGCGGTCAAGAACACTCCTTCCCGCCTACGTCCCTCGGCCGAGATGGGTACTCGTGGTTCGGGAGGTTGAAGTGCGAGGGAATGTTACTATTTGCTGGAATATCCTTACACGGAAAACACGCTATACGCGCAAGTGAAGCCCGTTAGCGTAGGTGTATGGTGTCCTGTGGTAGGGTAGCTGGCGTGTATCCGTACAGCTCTTCTCGAAACCCTGGCGCTTCCTGCAGGCACACTCATGCGGGATTCATGCGGTTGAAGATGAATAGTGGGACACACGCGAACAGCAATCAGCCCAGCGGATGACTAGCCGAGATGGAGGGTGGTAGCGAGGGGGCCATCGGCGGGATGTCTGGTACTCTGTGATGGGCAGACTGAAGGCAGGGGAGAAGCGGATGTCGAACGGGTGGGTTCATCGATACGCGGCTGGATTACGTCTCACTGCTGTAACTGTTGGATAGTTACCTCTTTGTTGAGAAAATGCGGACTGGTGAACCCAAAAGTATTGTGAGCTTTCAGGAAATAACCAGCTCAGATACCATGGTTCTCCAGGAGTCCTCCAACCTCCCATAACGGGGCCCCGCATTCAGCCGAAGAATCCGCTCCGAGGTCGCCGGGGGAAATAACGCTTGTGGCACGGACTCGGAGCCAATTGGAACGCGGGCGAGGGGTGGTCGATGGGTGTTGAGGCCCCTCCATCCCTCCTTCGGTAGCCGGTTCAGGCGCCCCTCGCTTGCGCGTGCCTACTGTCCACATCAGAACAATTGGGGGCGGTGGAGGGAGGGGGAGGGGCAGCTGGGAGGAGACAACTGAGTGCCCCGCCATCCCACTAGGTCGGGTTCCTGGGTGACGACGCAGCTTTTGGACACCTTTATGGATAGCTTTTTGCGCGGAACGATACCGTTAAAAGATCCAGGTAGTAGAATGAATGTGGTTTGGACTTTCATTCCGGGTGACACAAAGCTTGTGAGGCTCCTCCCCATGGTTCACTTGGACAGTCTTACCTCGTCATAAAGTTGTATCCCGGGTGTACCAAAGCGGCATGGCATGTGAAAACCTACGACAAAAAAGAGACCACGCGCCATGCGGTTCATCGGATGTGTACACAGGCAACACAGGAACACAGAAGGACAGATAGAGAAAGAGATAGAGACAAGATAAGCCTAATGCATAACCTTCTGTAGAGCTTATCTGCATCACAGACAACTTGGCCTCGTACAGCCTCTCACAAACATCACACCAGTTGATTTGCCTGTTCATCTGTCTACGTTATCCCGCGCCAGGCGAGCCGTTTATCTCACACCATAAGGTATCCTGCGCTTTATCCCGCATCCCAAGACGGCTCATCCATGCAGACCTACCCAACGTAATCCCTCTCCAACCCGAAAAAAAAACGCGCCGTTCCCGTAACCATTTAACCAAAGGCTGAGGTGCTCCTGTCACCCACAGATAGCTCCACCAGAGCCGCCCCTAGGTGGCCTGTCATTGTTCAACCCCGTCCGTCCGCCCGTCTCACCGCCCCTCCCAACAACGGACGACGTAGCGCCAGGCGGCCCCCATTCCTCATCCTTCCGCCGGCGTCCCGGATAGCTCCTTGGCCTAATCTAAGCACCGCAGGTAGCTTTAGACGAACCATCTTGTATCTCCCGCAGCCTACCGAGCTATATAGCTACCGTACCTTACCCACGTCTCCCGAACTCCGTCTCTTCTCTTCTTCTTTCTCTCTTCATCCCATAACCAAAAACAGAGATAATCTCACCAGGATCCCAAAGCCTTTCAACCAAAAACCACCACCTACACCAAAACCCTCACCAATCGTCTGATCGCGCTTACGAGTCGCGGTCACCCCCGTCGTCAAGACGTTTTCCAACCTCCTCAACTCGTAAGTATAGCCTCACTCACTCAACCACTCAACATCAAATCTCACTGTTCACGTTAAAATCTCATAAACCACTTCCACGAAACATTTGCTAACTACAATGTCTAGGGTCCATCACCCGTACGCAGGAGCCCGCTGCTCAGCCGCCCCCGGGGCTTCAGCGGACTCGGCCTTTGATCTCTAAAGGTCCTTCTCTTCAACGAGAACAAACAAAATTACTGCCTGAACACTGAAACCCAACTCCTGCTCTCTCTATCAAAATCATGGCTCCCCATGCAGAGGCAGACTCGGGCTCCGCGCACGGAGATGGACCAACCAACGGCAACGGTGCCGTGACTACTAACTCCCACCCCCAGCACGACCGCGAGCTCTTCACCGTCGACTCCCCCAACGTCGTCTACAACGACGACGAGATCCTCTCAAAGTACACCTACCGCACCACAAAGGTCACCCGGGACGCCGCCACCGGCAAGTACGTCGCCAAGCCCACCACCACGCTCTACGAGTTCAAGACGGACCGCAAGGTCCCCAAGGTCGGCATGATGCTCGTCGGCTGGGGCGGCAATAACGGCACCACCGTCACCGCCGGCATCCTCGCCAACCGCCGCGGCCTCGAGTGGGATACCCGCGAGGGGCCCCGCGCCGCAAACTACTACGGCTCCGTCATCATGGGGTCCACCGTCAAGCTGGGCACCGACGCCGAGACTGCAAAGGACGTCAATATCCCCTTCCACGACCTGCTTCCCATGGTCCACCCCAACGACCTGGCCATTGGCGGTTGGGATATCAGCAAGATGAGCTTGGCCGACGCCATGGACCGCGCCCAGGTGCTGGAGCCGACGTTGAAGATGCAGGTTAAGAAGGAGATGGCTGAGATGGTTCCGCTTCCCAGTATCTACTACCCTGACTTCATCGCTGCCAACCAGGAGGACAGGGCCGATAATTTGATCCCCGGAAGCAAGGCCTCCATGGCGCACGTTGAGCAGATTCGCAAGGATATTCGGTAAGAAATTTCTCTGCGGGCTGTCAAGTGGCACTGTTGGTTGCTGCTGCTGCTGCTGCTGGTGTTGGTGCTGACTGTGAGAATAGCGACTTCAAGGAAGCCAACGGCCTCGACAAGGTCATTGTGCAGTGGACCGCAAACACGGAGCGATATGCCGACATCATCCCGGGTGTCAACGACACCGCCGATAACTTGCTCAAGGCCATTGAGGAGGGCCACGAGGAGGTCTCGCCCTCGACCGTCTTCTCCGTCGCCTGCACGCTTGAGGGTGTTCCCTTCATTAACGGCTCCCCGCAGAACACCTTCGTCCCCGGCGCCATCGAGCTGGCCGAGAAGTACGGGTCCTTCATTGGCGGCGACGACTTCAAGTCGGGTCAGACCAAGATGAAGTCGGCACTCGTCGACTTTCTCATCAACGCAGGTATCAAGCTGACTTCCATTGCGAGCTACAACCACCTGGGCAACAACGACGGCAAGAACCTCAGCTCGCACAAGCAGTTCCGGTCCAAGGAGATTAGCAAGTCCAACGTGGTGGACGATATGGTCGAGGCCAATACGGTGTTGTACAAGGAGGGCGAGCATCCTGACCACACCGTCGTCATCAAGTACATGCCGGCCGTGGGCGACAACAAGCGCGCTCTCGACGAATACTACGCCGAGATCTTCATGGGCGGTCACCAGACCATCTCGCTCTTCAACGTGTGCGAAGACTCGCTGCTGGCATCGCCGCTCATCATCGACCTCGTGCTCGTAGCCGAAATGATGACGCGCATCCAGTGGAAGGCTTCTTCGTCGGATGGCGTTGCGACCAAGGACTTCAAGGGCTTCCACAGCGTGCTGAGCATCTTGAGCTACATGCTCAAGGCGCCGCTGACCCCGCCGGGAACCCCCGTCATCAACGCGTTGAGCAAGCAGCGTGCCGCGCTAACTAACATCTTCCGCGCTTGCGTCGGTCTGGAGCCCGAGTCTGAGATGACGCTCGAACACAAGCTGTTTTGATGCGTCGCCGGACTGCGGATGAATATTCCATTCTTTGCCATGCCACGTGGCCCTCCTTTGACTCGTTGCTTTGCTTTTTCCAATTTTGGAGGTTGATAATCATACAATTACCTCGTCCGATCACTGAAAGTTGCGTCGAAGATTTGAGATAGTGCCTATATTATCACAGAAAATACAGTCAGTCTTTACCGCAATGCCGTAAGCGTCCCACATGCCAGAGTTTAAGCATCTCGTATCGTGAAGCTATTTGGGAAGCAGCCACGCAAGCTCTCATAACTTGAACCTTGGAAGTGCCGTTCTCGAAAGCGAAAAGCTTAAGCTTGCTGGAAGCATGGACCTGTGCTGTTGCTATCAAGAATCGAGATGAGTTTGCATCTGAAGGTTGTGTCAAGCTGGGTGTTGATTGGTCGTGGAGGGAAAAGACGAGGCTGTTAACCGTACAGGATTCAAGTAGATGGGACGATGGCCAATCAGTGCATTGGAATTGCTCTCAATGGCTGTGGCCCAGACACGTCGCTCGTTATCTTGGGAGCGTCGGACAATATCAGTCAACATGTCAACTGCGCGGGCCTCTTTTCAGTGACAGGCGAGAAAGGACGGACCTAGGCCAGGGCCCTGGTGGCTGGAGAAGAAAATATTTGGAGATTCTGGAGATTCTGGAGAATGTTTCGAGCCAGGGGGGTGGAATGACATTCCGATATTCGCATCCATCTGCCAATCGCACTGTCTTCTGTTCGTTATTTTCTCCGCAGTCAAGCGAGGGAGAATGACGAATGTCGATAGACGACAGAAAAAAGGGGGGAAACTTGGTGGGAATTCTGCGAGGCGTTCGGTGTCGGTAAACAGAGGCGCAATTGCATGCTGTCCAATGGTGAAGGCCTGGGAGACCAGATGGGGCGCGGGGACATCCCCAAAGCTAAATTCTAACCCCGAGTAAGACGTAACGGTGCAGCGGCAGGGGAACAAAGGGGACTCCGTACTTTCTGTAAAAGACGTGACGGGATTGGATCAGAGGCAGGAGGTGGCCTTGTTAGCTGCCCCTGGAGGCCTGTGGAGGGACCAAATGGCGACCACTCGCGACGGCCCTAGTTGATGCTGGGTGCTCCGCTGTGCCTGATCTGCCAAATGGTTGCCGGGGTGTTGCTGGTGATGAAATTGCCCAGCTTTAATCAAGCATAAAGTAGCAATAGAACTGTAAGTAGGTGGGTGAGACGGCTACTTTGGGTGGGCAGAAGGCACACGGAGAAGCAGAGAGAGAGAAAGAAAGAGGGAGAGGAAGAAAAAGTACGAGGTGGGAGGCCGGCGGGCGGGAAGATGGAAGGGAACCGGGGAACAGACAGCGGGCAACCTTACTCATCCCTCCGGAAGGTACCTTACCTTCCTCTGTCTTTCTCTAAAGAAGGTGGGAAAGACCTACCTCATGGAAATGGAAGGGACACACCTAAATACCTGTGGAGTGAAGGAAAAAAGATACATCTTCATTTGCCAAGACGGGCCATTCTGACGCAGGCGCGTGTGTCGTCTGCCAAGTACCTTATTTTGCCTTTCAGACAGCCTGCCTTCGCCCAAACCAGCACTTAATCTGCGTTTCCTGGTTTCTCCCTCTATTACCCCTTTGGCGACGACGCTATTATTTCTCGCAACCTTTTCTTTTCCTTTCTCTCTTCCCTCCTTCCAGTTGATACATCACGTCGAACCTCACTCACGACTGTTTTCGCATCATCGACAGGCGCCACGGCCGCCACGACCACAAACAGACTTACGACGATGTTGTTTTCTACACTTGGGCGCGCTGCCCTTGCTGCAGGTTAGTGTCCCGGCTGCTTATTTGCGCGTTTCTCCATTGGCGACCCAGTCCGGCGACGAGGGTTGGCGTCATCCTTCAGCTTCAATCCAACAGATTCCTTCTTCCAGAGGCACAGACATACACATTGATTAGACACCCTGGACAATTCATCGCCATCCTCGTCAATCTAGCAGGAACCCCACACTGACATGGACTTCTTCTCGTAGCCGCGTTTGCGACATGTTCGTTTGCACAAAGCTCAAAAGACGATGATCTCGGCCAATCGACCTTTGTCGCCCCGGAAAACAATGTCGCCTTTGGCTTCACCGTCCCCGAAAACAGCGGCGAGGACATCTTCTTCACGATGCGGGCCCCCATCGACCGCACATGGGCCGCCATTGGCATCGGCCAGGATCAAATGGCCGGTAGCTTGATCTTCATGATCTATCGCGACGAAACGGGCAACAACGTCACCTTCTCACCTCGCATAGCTTATGGAAACTACGAGCCGACATACTACAACAATATGCAGTGGGACGTTCTTGCCGGGACGGGTGTGTTCAACAATTCCATGTACTTCAGTGCGCGATGCACTGCCCACTGCAGGAGCTGGGTGGGAGGATGGATCGATGTCTCAAACGAGAACCAAAAGGCCATCTATGCTGTTGGGCCCAAAGGAAGCTTCTTCTCGAATAAGCAGGACACGTCTGTCAAGTTCCACGAGGAGTTTGGCCGCTTCACACTCAACATGAAGCGCACAGTTGGCCCCGGCGACGCGCCCGTGCTCAAGGACAGTTCCGTCAATGAGGGCACCACGCAAGTCTCCGCCAACGATGGCCGGAGAGACTACAAGTCCATCTTCCATGCGGTTCTGATGGTGGGCTCCTTGGTCTTCCTCATTCCTTTCGGCGCCATCCTCCTTCGCTTTGGAAACATGGTTAGGTGGCACGCCCTCAACCAAGGTGTTGCTCTGGTTATCGTTCTCATTGGTTTCGTGCTCGGTGTTCTGACCAGCTTCTGGTACTCACGTGTAAGTCTCCGTGAGCTTGGGTCGAAGAGGTGTCGATGCTAATGTGGACAATAGTCTCGTGGTTTCAAGTCAGCACATCAGATCATCGGCTTCATCGTGGTTGGCTTCCTCTTGGGTCAATTCGCCATTGGCTTTCTGCATCACCAAAAATACAAGAAGACGCAGCGGGACACGCCATACAAGGTTGTTCACCAATGGCTCGGTCGCATCACGATTGCTCTTGGCACCTTCAACGCATTCTTGTACGTATAACATCCTTCAACAATCCTAACACTGTGCTAATATGTGCAGGGGCTTCTCATTTGCCTTGAACCGCCGATTCAATTACTTCCTCGCTGCATTCATCATCCTCATGCTTCTGGTCTCTCTGTTCTTCACCTTCGGAGGCAAGTGGGTCCGCGGCCGGCTGCCCGCTAAGTTCGGCAACCAAGCAACGGGCGGGTACAACCCGGAACCTTGGAGACAAGCACCTCCGCAAGGCGGTTACGCATACACCGGTGCCGCTCCTCCTGCCTACCAACCGCCTTCTCATCAGAACCAAAGTGTCGGTCTGACAAGCATGGTGGCGGATCCCACGCAGCCGACGAAAGAGAGGAGCGGTAGCCGCGATTACCGGAACAACGACTTGGGTTCTGCGCACCAACCGCGCGAGATGGTGTAAACCATTAGCTCGGTATCACTCCGACTTTGTTATCAACATTGTCTGCATTTTTGGCGTTGCGCGGGATGGGGAAACGAAAGTGAATGGAAAATGAATGCTGGGTAGCAATCCTTGCGGATGGCCCTCCGCTTCAATGCTATGATTTAGCTGTATATTTAATGTATTTCACACATCGAGTTTCATACCAAAAGATGCATGATTCGATGAACGATCGCTTTCTTGTCCCAAAGATATTGAAATGGCCAACAAGAGTAGCTTTGCACTAAAACTGCGGTTGCTAGTCGTAGTGCTGAGCGAGACCGGACGGCGTGATGGTCTTCGGCACCGAATCGGCAGATTGCGACATCCATCGTTTGACCGGCGGTGGGTCAATCGTTGAAGATGTCAAAGTTCTTTTTCCATCGAGCCTCGCTTGTTGGCTTTGCTATAGAGTGGTAAGAGATTCAGATCCCGCTTGCTCTTGAACTGGATAGAAGTTCTCAATCAGGCCTGGCCGGAGGGAGAAACGCCAAGAAGCTCCGCAACGGTAACTCTAACGCACGGGATCCGGCGCGCCGTTCAACATCAACGGTTCGGTCTTGGAAAAAGAAATTGCGGGTACGCCCCGGTCCCCCGGCGCCGGGATCGGCCGTTGAGAGCTCGGCCAAGTTACGACTTTTCACCGTTGTGACGTACCCGCGTGAAGCGGTCAACCAAGTACCTCAGCCGCAACCATTACTGACACGCGACCCAGGTGCCAAGACCTTACAAAGTCTGTGTATCAATTGGCGCGCCGAACAAGAGCTTTGAGCGGTAGCGGCTGACTCTTGTTACATGCTTGCCCTTGTGAGGATAAGTGGCGGCAACTTGCTTCCGTTTCGTTTTTTGGCGCTCGCCTGTTGCCGCACGGCTCGATCCCGTGCCGGCCTGGGCGGAGTTTCCCCGACGTCTATTTGATCTTTTGTACTCTGGGCCCAGCCTTTTCCAACTTCATCTCTTGGACAACCTATTGTCAGCATTCTTTCCTCCACTCGTCTTTGGCCGGATAGGTTGTGTACTCAGCTCTTCTTTCGGTGTGCCTCGCAAGCATCCATAAACTTGTAGAACATACGAGATTTACATTGCTACATCTCTGAACGTAGACACACATATACTCACTCGTAGCGGCCAAAAAGATACACCCTCAATCGTTCCCTCTCATTCTTCAACGGTGGAGTGTAACTCCAAAACCATAACATCGGCACCGGAGCCCCCACACAATGCCGCCGCGGCGCACGGAGGACGAGCTGGTGCTCCAGTACCATGATGAGGATGCCGACACCGAAAGAGGGGAGTACTCAGACTCAGACTCCGATGCGGATGAGGACACGCCGATGATGCTGGGCCAAACCGACGGCACGGTCGAGGCTGCCGATGCACCGCTCTCAAATGCGCCCCCCAAGCCTCCGCCGCTGCCTCTTGTCAAGAAGCCTGAGAAGCCACCGCCCGTGGCCTGGCGCGATCTGCCAAAGAAGCAGCAGTTATTCGTGATTACGATGACGAGGTTAAGTGAGCCTCTTGTTCAGACTTCTCTCCAGGTGTGTATCTTTTTACTATTGTAGTACCTCAAGCGCAAAGTCTCACAACATTTTACCTCCAATTATTCACACTCACACTTCAGTATAAAACGGGGTCTTGTCTCTTGAGAGTAACTTCCCACCCGCTGACACCGTCCTCAGTCCTACATGTTCTACCAACTCAAATGGTTCGACCCAACGCTGCCCGACTCAGTAATCTCAAGCCAGGCCGGCATCCTCCACGCCTCCTTCACAGCAGCACAGTTCATCACAGCCATGATTTGGGGCCGCCTCGCAGACTCGAAGCGCTTCGGCCGCAAGACGGTCCTCATGATCGGCCTCCTCGGCACCTGCTTCTCCTGCATCGGCTTCGGCTTCTCCCAGTCCTTTGCGCAGGCCCTCTTCTTCCGCTGTCTAGGCGGCGCGACAAATGGCAACGTCGGCGTCCTGCGGACAATGATTAGCGAAATCGTCCGCGAGAAGAAGTTCCAAGCTCGCGCCTTTATTCTGCTGCCCATGACCTTCAACATTGGCGTCATCATCGGGCCCATCCTGGGGGGCATCCTCTCCGATCCGGCGGGGAGCTACCCTTCCTTGTTCGGTGATGTTGCTTTTTTCCGGAAATATCCCTATGCGACGCCAAACCTGCTCAGCGCGATCTTCCTCTCCTGCGCTGCCCTGTCCGTCTGGCTCTGCCTCGAGGAGACCCACGACGCCCTCCGCGAAGAAGGCCCAGACCTCGGGTCCCGCGTAGGAGCAAGCATCGCCTCCCTCGTCCGTCGAATCGTTGCTCGTCAACGAAGGGGGTTGAACAGCAACGCAGACGCGGCCTACACGCCCCTCCACTCCAGTTCCGCAAGCACAACCGACGTCGACGTCGAACTCTCCCCAGAATCCGCGCCAGCAAAACAGAAACCCCGCCCCCGGTACCGCCACCGCCTCCCCTTCCGCCGCATCTTCACCCGCAACGTCCTCATGACCTTCTCCGCGCACTTCTTCCTCGCCTTCCACGTCGGCACCTTCAACGCCCTCTGGTTCGTCTTCCTCTCGACCCCGACCTCCGCCTCCCCCCCGCACCTCCCCTTCCGCTTCTCCGGCGGGCTCGGCATGCCCCCGCAGTCCGTCGGCATGGCCATGGCCATCCTCGGCGTCATCGGCATCAGCCTCCAGCTCCTCGTGTACCCGCGCCTTTCGGCGCACCTGGGCACCGTGAAAGCCTGGCGCCTGTTTCTGTATTTCTTCCCGGTGACGTATTTTTTGGTTCCGTACCTCGCCGTCGTGCCCACCACCGACGCCGCGCCGCCGCCGGGGCCGAAGGGCGGACCGGCGATTTGGTTCGCTATTGTTGGGGTATTGCTCTTCCAGGTTCTGGGGCGGACGTTTGCGCTGCCGGGGCAGACGATTTTGATTAATAACTGTACGCCGCACCCGTCTGTGTTGGGGACGATTCACGGGCTCGGGCAGAGTGTTAGTAGTGCGGCGAGGACGATTGGGCCCGTGTTGTGCGGGTGGCTTTATGGACGGGGGCTCGAGGGAGGGGTTGTGGGTGCTGTGTGGTGGGGTTTGGCTGGTGTTGCAGTGTTGGGGGTGATGGCGAGCTGGGCTGTTTGGGAGGGAGATGGGCATGAGATTTGGATTGATGGGGATGAGGTTGCTGCTGAGGAGGAGGAGGAAGTGCATAGGCGGTAATGATGGGTTTATGGTAGAAGGAGTGGGAGTTTGGAAGTTTGAGCCTGTATGTTTTTTTCTCATACTCACTTACATAGCCTCCAGAGCAGAGTATAATAATTCGTAGATTTCTCCAAGGTATCTTAAACTACCTTAGCCTTCGTTACAGGTTCAACTCAAAGAGATACGTAAATGCTGGTATGCACTACTACGGGGTAATAACGTACAGAGATATTCGCAAACGCGTAGCTCTCCCTCGCAGCACACGTACGCCTACCTCACGCCAACCTACATCCTTATTTACCTACGTTCTTAGAATAAACAGAATCGTTTCAAACACTATGAAGTCAGATGCAAACTCCATGCGCCCATCAGCTTGCCTTTCAGGTCAGGTAGAAAAAGCTAAAATGACGGCTCTCTCGTTCTGGAGATTCCTCACTGCTTTCAAATTTGCTTGTCAAGCTGCTTCATTCTCGAACCAAAACCCTCTTGAGATTACAGACGCAAGTGGAGGAAGAAAAGACTCCGACGTAAGGACCAATGAATCCGTGGTGCAGGCCATGCGTGATGCAGGGGCCTCGGGCTTCATACCAGCTCCCAGTCTTTCCCTCTTTTCGTTTATTTCGGCGGACGACATTAGAGCTTGCTACTGCGAGCCGGGAATGGAGTTTCAGGCTATATCGTTGCCGCCGACGTGCTTGCTAGCCCTGCTACCTTATTCCAGGGTCGTCGATCTTTGACATGTTATTGGGCGTTGGAGACTCAAGCGGGTTCTCGCAGCTTGGTGGAACGATGCTGTTGGAAGTGGTTGTGTGATTTATATGCTTGAAGCGCGGCAAAATCCTTGGCTCGACTCTCGTCAGCCTGATCGTGCAAGCCGCCTGCCGCGTTTAACCCATGTCCCTTTTCTCTCCTTCGAGAACAATTCAACTATTTAGTAGTCATGCTGCTTGTGCTTGGGCCGTTCTACTATTCGTTCTGTCTGCTCTTTCAAACTCTTTCCCTTGCTCTCTTTTTCTCTACGTCTACTTACTGAGCCTATTGAGCGTCGGAATCAAAAACTCTTTTCACAATGCGGATCGCCTCTATCCTTCTTCCTCTTCTGAGCCTCCTCTTTCGGGACTGTACGGGGTCCACCTTCTACCAACCACCGGGCTCCGGTCCCGCCGGAGACTTCCGAGACAACTCCCAGTATACGTTGGGCGAGATAGTAGACCTCCAATGGGAGACTGACGACACTTCCATTGACTTATACCTCGTTCAAACGTTACCCGAGGATGAGGTCGCTACCATTTTGTTTGGTGAGTCAATTTAGTGTAAAAGCAGTGAGCCCAACGCAGATCCTACTTGCTCTACGGCTTTCGAAGTCAAAACATTTTACTTACCTGATTGATTCACAGTAGGCGAATCTCACACGCCCTTAGGCTGGGCGTGGAACGTCACCTTCGATAGCTTTCCGTCCTGGCATAGCCCGGATCTGAGTAACGTGTACTATCTGCACTTGCAGCCCTCTCTGCCTGTTGGCGTCATTGGTGCAGGTGTTGCGTCCCACTATTTCAACATCACCCGCAGCGCCGCGTCATCAGTCTCGTCGTCGGCCTCACCATCATCTTCGACATTATGGACATCCGTTGCATCACCGACGACAACGCCGAGCGCAACGAGCACATCAGAGCTGGACCGTGATGAGCTATCGACTGGCGCAGTGGCTGGTATTGCGGTCGGAGCGACATTCGTTGGGACGCTCTTTGTAGTAGGATTAGCGGGATTTCTGTTCTTGCGGCGGTGGGGGAACAATAAGAAGAGGGGAGGGGAAGAATTAGGCGCGATCATCACTGCGAACGATGGAAACGAGATACATGTCTACAAGAGAGACGTATCCGAGCCATCGAGTGAACTATTTGTTGAGAGTACTCGACGCTTTGGAGCCGAGGGTTCGAAACCAAGTGAGATGAGGTTTGAGATGTCGGGTGATTCGGTCGTACGTAAATGAAACGTGGAGTTTAGTTAAGCTGGCGGAAGTCGTGACTATTTGCAACTAAAATTTGAGATTCAAAGGTGAGGTATGTCGTCTCTTACTTTCGGGGATATCGTCGTTAACGTGTAGGATAGATGTATGGACACCATCTACTCTTGGTCAACTACGCGACCAGTATAGGAATCCGAAGAGGTCGCGGCAGCTTCAGTAAATTTCTTCGTACATGGTGATGAGATTAAGAAGCGAAGGTTGAAGAGTCACATGACAAGCGTAATGACCGGTAGGCGTTTTCTTGAGTTTGACAATCTGGATCATAAGGCAGACTTCTCAACACAGAAATGAAATGTCTCTGAGCTTCCCATCTCTCAATCTCCATGGTTGCGCGAACTCCAGGTTTTGCATTCGCGCTAGTAATGCGATGGCTTTGTGTGACACATTTAATTGGTGTCGTGTGCTGCAGTCCCTTTTCAGCTTCACTCCGAAACCGCCCTGGACGGCGCAACTTCATGCCGAGCCTTCTGCGGCTGAACATAGCGGTCACGCATTCGAGATATTTGATCGATCGATTCGAGCTTGAGAGGGGCAGACTTGTCGATAGGCATTGTTGGAGTCGGGGCTCGTCGATGTTTAGCGTAACGGTTTCAGACAGCCAAGAATATCAAAATACCCAGATTGCCCTCTCATATCTATTCTTGAATGCTGAACACGACATCGTCCCCAAGTCGTGATATTGAGCAACGAAAGACAAACACGGATTACAGCAGACAACCATACTTTCCACCTCCGCCAGGTCAAGCTGGAAATCCATCACCGCCGATTCCGCCACGCCCAGAAACAACGATGCCAGCAATTTCTCCTCCCCATGACTATTCGCAAGGGCAATTCCAACAACCTCAGACGGTGCAAAGTCCTCGATATGGCGGTCAACATCCTCAACAAACTTACCAGCCCACATACGGCGCTCCTTCTTACCATCAGAGCCCCCCCAACAGTCACAATTATCATCAACCAAGCTCCGTAAGCCGACCTGAGCCAATTCCTCAGAACTCTTATTCGAATGGCCAGCCTCCCTACACCCAGCCGTACTCACCCTCAGCAACGTACACGCACCCTAATCAAGGACCATCATCGTCCCAGAGTCCTAGTCTATCAAGTGCTCTGCAACAGGCGACCTCATTGTTTTCGGACAGTGACAAAGTTGTCAAGTCTTACCATGGACTCAAGAGCAAAGCTAGAGCCAAGTTCACCCAATTCGTCTCGCAGGGCGTGACACCTTCACAGCCTACCTACAACCCTCAGGTCCAGTACGCTCAGAACCACAACCCGCCGTACAACCCTTCACCATCGTCTCCATCTCCCGTTCATCTTCCCGGCGCTCAATACCATCAAACTCAGCAATCTTACTACCAGCATCCGAGCCCAATAGAAAACTTGGCAACTCCACCAGCACAGTCTCCCTACTATCACCCGCCCCCTTCTCAGGAACAGGCCTACCCTCTACCATCTCATAGTCCAGCTGTGCTGCCACAACAACGAGATCAGTATAGTCAACAGACTCAAAATGATTCATCTCCTCATCGCCTGGCTCATATCCCACAAAACCCCGGGAAAGATGATACATTTGGCATGCCGACACCCAACGCTGTGATCTATGGGAATGACAATCCCAATTTTGCCGTTCAGCAATACACTGCATCTGCAGCTTCACCAGCAACTCACATACCGCCTGTGATAATACTGCAGCAAAATCCTGAGCATCAGCAGCATATTCAACATGTCCAGAAAGGGACCTCTCGCCCAACTGAAGCTACACAAAAGCCAGGAAGAACTACAGCAGGCGCTATTCATCCTGCGACCTCGGTGGTAGAAGTCAATACCGCTGACTGCCCACCTTCTCAACCCCACATTGCCGAGAAGGTCGCTTATGTTTCTCACGAGGAAGTACCGGCAGCCAGTTCAGTCGATCAAATTTCTACAATCCTCAGCACTGTCAGCATTCGCGAAGCGACTTCGTCACAGAGTAAGCCTCCGGCGCCTGACGATGTTGACTTCCACGACTACAAAAGAGCTGTTCCCCGTGTCACCGAAGATGGGGAGCCCAACACAACCGTCTGGGAATGCCCAGCAGACCGAGAGGTCAAGTATGAAACGGACTGGTATCATATACCAGACATCCCAAACTTCCTCGTCTGCACACACTGCCACGAGAGGTGCCTTGCACGAACACACCTGGAAGAATCTTTCATACGCACCAGGCAACCGGAAGGACGTTGTCGGTTCAATGCTCCCCGCATCACCAGACTTCTGCTACCAGAGTGTCTCAAGCGCAGAGACATCACTCCTCTGCGGGATTTCATGACCGCTCGACTCGATGTCCTGGACTGCAAGGGCGTCTCGGGTGCTGATGGGTCAGTAGGAATCAAATGGTTCAAACCGCTTGACGACAGACTCGATGGTTTCGTATCTTGTGAGGCTTGTTATCAAGATGTCGTGCTGGCAACATCGTTCCGTGACAAATTTGTTCCGCACGACTCACCTCAAGCATCTGATGCTGTCTGGGCCTGCGACATCTGTCTCCCCTTCATGAATCGATCCATAGTCAAACTTTCAAAATCAGGAGTGGACGGCTGGAACTCATGGGTAGAAGCAGCAGCGAAGCACATTGCTCTTCCTGAATGCGACAAGGGGCCCGTATCGCCCTCCTCCAGACGCTGGATGCGACTGCGCGGCGACCAGCATCCGGATTTCAAGATGTGTGAAAAGTGCTACGAGAAACATGTGGCTCTGACGACACTAGACAAGGACTTTGAATCTATTCCATATGTGCCGAGTCACACAGGGTTAGACTGGATGGACGCCGCATTAGGCTATACAACGACGGAGCCTACGCCCATCACATGCAGCATGAACAGCTTGCCTGTTGAGGTCGCCCTCACGGATGCCAAGGACTTTCAGGACATAAACGTTCTGCACCGTGCTCTGGAGGTAATCCTCTCCTGTCCACCGTGTACCGAACGGGGTATCATCAACGGCACGTGGTACACTTTGAACGGCGGCGACTGCGACGGCTATAGGATCTGTGACCCATGCCACGCAGCCTTCATCACCCCGTTCGGACTCGACCGATTCTACGAGAAATCCCAGAGCGAAGAAGCAGGAGGGACCTACTTCTGCAGCTTCGAGCGGTCCTCCGCCCCACGATGGGTCGAACACATGAACCGCAACGCAGAAGCCGTCGAGACCGGCGTGTGGTCCCGCTACTCCGTCTTCGTGCGCAAGTTCGCCGGCGTCCCGCAATGCGCCAAGGAGAACCTCGTCGATAACCGACGCTGGTACGGCTGGGACGACTGCACTATCTGCTCCGAGTGCTTCATCACCTTCTGTCAAGAGAGCTCGGCCCCTCCTCCTAGTATAAAAATGGAATTCAACAACGACCTCGTCGTCGAGAAGAGGTTGTGTTGCCTGTACTCCCCGCGCATGCGGCAAAAGTGGATCGAGGCGTGCGAGGCGTGCAACGCGGAGGCGCTGATCGAGTTTTCGAGGGTGCGGCACGGGGTTTGGGTGCAGACTGTGCTGCAGGTCCAGGCGCTTCGCCAGATGCAGGACATGCAGTTTGCAAATGCCATGCATGCAGGCTTCATGAGCGTTACGTACCAAGGCATTGAGGGCATAAAGGTGGTGTCTGGCACGACAGATGGGTACGAGCATGGCAATAGCCAACTTGGATGGCATGCGACGGAGGAGGGCGCGACGAGCGCAGCTTTTCGGAATCAGATGCAGGCTGGCATGGCTCAGTCTAATAGTTCGAATACGTGGATGATGATATGGCAGTTGTTGCTGAAGTGGTCAGAATATGAATAAGGTGGGTAGGCTAGGCTTGGGTTTCTGGCTGGTTGCTCTTCTGCACAGCCTTTGTGTTTGTTTGTAATGCCTTTGATAAGTCGTTCTTTTAAGTGACTTTCTTCTACGTTGAGATCCCTCATTGTACGGCTGTGTCATTGCACAAAACGCAGCCATATCTCTCGAGAATGCCGTCTTCCGTCTTCTACGACTTCGGACGGAGTCTCAGCAGCTGGGTCTAAACCGAAGCCCTGAGAATTCTGAACGTACCGGAGCTGCTAATATTCCCCAAGCATATTGAGACTCAGCTGGACCATGGTGAATTTACAAGATTCGATCCATGTCAGATGTCAGCGTATAGAAATTATGGATGGCATTAATGTGTAATTACGTCTGGATACCCAAATTCTACGACGGGGTAGTCGGCTCAAAAACGTCCTCCAGAACATCAACAACACCACTCATCCAGCTATCCCACGACGCGGGATCCTCTTCGTCCTTGTAAAACTTGAGCCACTGAAGCAAAATACGGTACGACCCCTTCTTCAACCCCAAGCCTGTCGTAGCCGTAGCATCAAGAATACTATACGACCATCCAGCCTGGTAACTCGTCTGCGGCAGCCACCCATTCTGAATCATATTGGACCCAAGGATGTTTACGCCCGCAACCGTGCCGTTCTCCGTCATGGTCGTCTCTGTGAGGTTATCGAACTTAACGCTAGGATCGAAGCCGTACCATGTCGGCGTGAAATTCGTGCTCGCGCGCACAATGTCGAAGCGGAACTTGCGCACCGGCTGCAGCGAGGTGAAGAGCGCGACCGGGTAGTCCGGGTACTGGAACGAAAAGGCGCGGTAGTTGCCAATGTCGGCTTTATCGCCGTTGGCAAAGACCTGCGGGGCCGAGAGGGGATCGCGCGTTGGCATCAGGGCGTTGACGCGTTGCTCCGCGGTGATGTTCTTCGTACCGACGACGGGTGTGCTGCTATAGTTGTATGCTGGGCCCATATACGGGATCGTGAAAGTTTCGTTGGTGGAGGAGGAGATGCCAATGAAGCCGGAGAAGAGCGGGACGAGGCTGGCGTCTGGGGATGATGGGGGTGTGATTGAGAACTTGACGTTGGCGGAGCCGCCGGCTGGGACGGTGATTTGGCTCCCGCTCGCGAGGTCGATCTTGGCCGAGAAGGACGAAGAGATGTAGCCAACCTGTGCGGTACGGCTGGAGCCTTCCGAGAATGGTGCGGCGCCGGCAGCAGGCACGTTTGATAAGCTGTATGTGACATCGGTATCCGACGGATTGTCGATGGTCAAAGTAGCCTCTTCAATATCAACCAACTTGAACTCCCCTGGAGATACCAATGTTCCCGGGAACACGGCTTTGTGAGCCTGGACCAGACCCGCGCCTTGTTGAATTGCAGGCGCCATCAAATCATAGTCTGCCATGTTGACTTGCTTTGCAGTGGTTTGCATCAGCTCAAAGATCTCTTCAACGGACAGTTTGGGATTCTGTGACTTGATCAGAGCATATACACCAGAGATGTAAGGCG